AAAGAAAGTTCCTTCCCATTTGTTTGTGGTTGACAAGTAATTTATAGATGCTTTACAACTCCCTATTGAACTGGAACGTGAGAAAGCAGATGAAGTGAAAGTATTTTGTCATTGAAATGTGCATTGTTTGTGAGAGCTTTCCAAACAAATTATTCAAAGTGGCATGAAACATGAACTCAAAATATGATGCATGTTAAAAACAAAAGAAAGTAAAGCTTACACGTATGAAGGCAATCATGGACAACAATAATAAGCTTGGAACTTGGAGCAGAAAGTGGAATACAGTATAATCATGAGAGCAGAAAACAAATTAATCCAACACTGAACAATGAACTTAAATAACAAGAAAATCCCTAAATGACTGATTCAGGGTGGTAAAGTTGCGTGAAAACCAATTTGACAGAGCAGAAGAAATGAGGAAGAGGTGAGGCAAGAAGAAAACAGAGGAAGGAGAGATGATAATAACCGAAGAGCAATACTAAGACAAAAAAGCCAAAAGCAGAAATAGATTATTATGACATCATCAACATATCTGAAAATAGTCTCAAAAACAACAATTCTGTCTTTTCTTGTAATAAGTTCTAGGGAATTAATCATCCAGAAAAATTTGTTATTGTGACAGTCCTGCATGTATGTTCTCTACTTAGTCAAATAATGACACTTCCCTCCAATTTCTTCAGTATCATTGCGTGACTGTAAATGTGCCTTATGTCATGGCAGGAACTTTATGAAATACGTAAATCTAATTTTGGACAGGTGAAGATAAGATAATGTGTCAGTCATCCTTATGCTCACCATGTTCATACTGTGAGCGCATAGATTTCCTAACGTGCGCTCCGAGAAGAACAGCTAAATAGATATGCTAGATTTTACTATGCCTCAGTATTTCACTTTGTCATAGTAAATGCCCCCATTTTGTCTGATATGAAGAAGCATTTTGATCACAAGACATTTGATTACCTTTTTTAATGTAGAATCTATGCTGAAGATACCACAAAACTATGAAAGCTTCCTGTGAAAACAACCTATTGTTTCAGCGATAGTGCAGATGTTGTACTGTAGAACTGAGGTTGGGTCTGTTTTCTTAATACTTCCTGGACAAGTGGGTGTGCAGCACACACAGGTCAACATTCCACACAGGACAACACAGAGACAAACAACCATGCACACACTTCATACCAAAGGGAAATTTAGATTAACCCAACATGCATGATTTTCAACTGTGAGAGTAAGCTGGAGACCTCATACATGCACACAGGGAGAAAATGTAATATATTTAGAAAGGCCAGGATTTGAATATAAGACTTTCATGCTTCAAGGCAATAGTGATGATGCTGGAGATTCAGAAGCAAAGGACTCAGTGTTTTGCTATCTATGCTATATTTCTGCCTGAAGTCAAGCTTGATGTAATCTTTTCATTGTGGTGAACTTTCATGTAAAAATAAGAAAATTAGCTTATGTTCCTCTTTGTTTTGACAGATCTGTTGAAACAGTCAAACTGAGCACACTTTGTATCAAAAGCCAGACTCTTACTAAATAGTCTTACTCTTATGTTTGTCTTCAGAGGAAATCTTGTTTCTACAAATCAACTCCAAAATTTAAAATGCCAGACCATTTATGATTTCAACATGCTGTTTATTATTAGCATTTGTTGTAAGCAACACAGCTCTTTTTTTTTTAAAGCCAAAACTACATTAACAACTTATTTTATGTCAAGGTCCTGCTTTGTTAACACATTTCCTTTCTACTGTTCCCCATGCACTGCACTCCTGCTTGACAGTTTACACAAAGTGGTCGAGTTGTTTATCACAAGAAATAGTTCACAGCCTTCTTCTTCTCTAGGGACTTCTAACATGCGTCTTGAAATCAGTAACTAATTGAAAGCATATTGCAACCTTGGTGATCATTCCCACTGGACACTGTTTTCTAAACCACAGCAAAATGTCTCCCTTGCAGCTGAGCCTTAATTATATCTCACCACCAAATCCACTCCACTAGAGCTTACCTAAAATATGATTTTTTTTTTCCCCCCCTTTACGTTAATTTTCCAGTCAATGTGCGTCACTTAGTGCTGCAGTGGTATAATTTTTTTGTTTTACAAAATCTTGATTGGGAAATTGACAGAATAAAACTGGTGACCAAATGTTGTACTTATTCACTTGTGAAGTGAAAATTGTGTTATTATTTCTTTTAATAATTTTATTTAATTCTTTAGTCATTTCACATTAGTTCAGTTCAGTCTGATAAAGTATATCTAGGCCAAGAACCAGTCAGATAGGTTTCCTGCAGTCGCAGCAGATTGATGAGTGAACTAATGTCTCTGTTTTTGGTATGGAAAGTTGTTCCATTAGCATCCTGATTTTTGGAAACTCCCATATTTTGAACAAGAAGATGTTTATCATCTAAATAAAGTACCAAAGCAAGGCGCCAAAGTTTATTAACAGATAACAAAAGATAGTTTAGGTAAACAGTAAGATGGAATAAGCCCTGAGGTCTAACAAATTTCTCCACTGAATCTCACAAGCTGAGAGTACCTAGAAGGTCTGACAATGTTTTTGGTATGGAAAGTTGTTCCATTAGCATCCTGATTTTTGGAAACTCCCATATTTTGAACAAGAAGATGTTTATCATCTAAATAATAAATTGACCTTTCAGTAAGGAAGAGGTTGCATCCTGTGGTTGCATCCTGTCCACCTTGTGGCTACATGACTGTGCAGTAAACTTGTTCAACTGGAATTGACTGAGCCGAGGGAGAGACCATGTTGCATAAAGACTCCTCCTATATATTGTGAGAGCTTGCAGCTCCAAGTCAGAACTCATTGTAGGTACAGCTGTTGTGCTTTGGTTGCTGTGTGTTCTCCGTTTGCAAACGACAGAAATAAAAGAATTTTGCTCTTTGCTATTTGCCAGAGTCTCAAGACTGATCTGTTCCACACAGATTAGATTTTTTTTTCCCAAACACTGACAAGGGATTCAGATATCTTTGCGAGTACAAATACTTTAGAATTGGACACATCATTGATTAAAGTTGAATCTCCTTCTTTTGAGACGGAAATAACAAAAAGAAAATTTTCAACTTAAAAATTATATTGGTAAACAAACTGAGATTAAAAATTTGACTAAAAGGAACAGCTACAATTTCAAACTCAATCAAATTTTATTTGTATAGCACATTTCAGCAGCAAGGCATTTCAAAGTGCTTTACATAATGAACACAAAAACACAGTCATGCAACACTGATGTTTTTATGCAAATGTTTTATTTGCATAAAAATGCAAATGAAACATTTTTAATATGTAATCTACAAAACTCAGTTAAATGTGATATTTAACCTTCCAAACTCAGTTAAATGTAATATATAAGCTACTAAACTCAGCCAATGGATTTGACCTACTGGGCCCTTCAAAAACTCTGTTAATAAACATTAACCTACTTTATACAGACAACACCATCAGTATTAAATACATTTGCAGCAATTTTTGCCAATTGTAGGTTCCAATTTATCTGGAGTTTAGGGTTTTGGGGGTGAAGGTTTTTTCTTTAAGCTTTAACTTCCTCTGCTAGAGAAAAAGGTGTTAAATTTAAAAAATCTGAACATTTCCTCAGGTTTTACCAGCCGGTGGTAAAACATCAGTTTTCACTAAAGTTGAGCAAAAACGAAAATTATTTTTAAACAGCACAGACAGAAACAAGAATAATTTTTGACTCTTGTCAGAGCAAATCAAGCAGATTTACTTGCACATCTGCTTTAACATTAATATTAACATTCGCCACTTCCTTGATTATCAGCAGACGCTGTACCTATTTTGTATATGCTAAAGGTTTTTGGGGTGTACTTTTTTTTCTGCAAATATTTCTGAAGTGAGAAAATTAATGACAAGTGGAATCCTTGTCTTTAATTTTCTATAGTGCTTGTTAAAGTATGGACAAAGTGAAAAAAATATTTAAAAGATTCTGAAGATATGCACATTTTAATAAGAATGTCGCTTCCAACGTTGTAGTTGTCTTTGTTTATATGTGACACTAAAACCCAATTAAGTACATTAAAGATCACAAAATGTAGACGGATGACTTTTGTTAAGTTCCTGTACTTTTTATAGTGTCTGCATCTACTTTCAATCTGAGATGGAGGTTCTGAAGCAAAGAAACCCCAAACTGACACAATGTGTTTCCAATGAGCTGCTGTCTTGGGTGTGGGAGTTTATTTCTCTGCTCATGACAGCCCCAGAAAGAATGCAGCAGGATGTTTATTAGGTGATTAATGCTGACCATCCTCAGATTTCCACACTCTTCTTGAAACAGCTATGTGACAGTGTCATGCTTCTTGTTTTAGGCCATTTTCTTTGCCTGCTTTTGATGCAGAACCAATTCACTTGTATTGACCAATAGCTGAGTATTAATCTTAATCTGATTAACCATGGGGAAAACCTTCATGTGTTTTTTGATTCAAGTACAAGTACAGTCAACCCCTCACCCACTGCAGTTCAGTATTTGCAGATTTTCTGTGGAACGTGACTCTGAGTTATTTGCTAATAATCTGTTAATTCACAGATTTTTTGGTGGACATATCTAAAATATTTTACCCAAAATACAGCCTGAATAACTTTACACAATGTTAGTTGACACACAATTGGCTGCCATGAGTAAAGCAACGAATTGAGGAGCTCCATTTAATTCCCTTGAATCTCATTGGCTATACCCCAAGGCTGCAGATGTTAGCTTCTGTGGTATTAGGACACCTCCCACTGTTCATATTAATGCCTATTTGGTGTAGAAATTATTAAAATATGAAGTTGTACTCATTTTTAGACAGAGCTATTCAAGGGAAAACCAGGAATCCACTGTGACAATAGCTCAACATATTATTTTTTAATATAATCCAGTATTTACCTAGATACTTTCATTACATTAAGTATTTATTGTTTATCCATATTTTGTATTTTCTTGTTCTTGTGAGTGTCATCTGTTTTAATTTAGCCTTTGTTTTGTCTCCACTTCAGAGCTTTAAAGATGAGAAAAATCAAGACAAGAATTTTATTATTTGTTGGAGCCCTTGGCCTGCTGGCGTTCCCTTTTTTTAAGTACTCTGATCATCAGAATATTTTCCAGAAGAATACTTCTGAGAATAACAGACCAAAAAAGATACTAATCAAAAACATCTCTTATGTATACTCCTGGGAAAAATGTCAGCAAAATCTGACTGCTGCCAACATCTCTGGCTTCTCAAGTCTTCCTCACAATATCAAAGACTTTCTCTTCTATCGTCACTGTCGACATTTTCCCATGCTACTGGACCTCCCTGATAAATGTGGAGGAGCTGAGAAATCGGGAGATGTCTTCCTTCTGCTGGTCATCAAGAGTTCCCCGGCCAACTACGAACGGCGGGAGGTGCTGCGGAAAACATGGGGTAAAGAGAGGTTATACAACGGCATGTCGATTAAAAGGATCTTCATTTCCGGAGTTTCAGGTGAGAGTTATGAAAAAGAAAGACTGAACAATCTCCTGAAGCTGGAGCAAGAGGAGCACAGAGATGTTCTCCAGTGGGACTTCAGTGACACGTTTTATAACCTCACTTTGAAGCAAATACTCTTCCTGGAGTGGATGGAAAGAAACTGTCCGAATGCTCGCTTCCTCCTGAATGGAGACGACGATGTGTTTGCCCACACAAACAACATGGTTGTGTACCTGCAAAGCCTCAAGGAAAATAATGGGAGCAGGCATCTCTTCACTGGTCATCTGATCCAGAATGTGGGGCCCATCAGAGCAACGCAGAGCAAATATTTTATCCCAGTTCAAGTTCAGAAATCAGACTCATACCCTCCGTATTGTGGCGGAGGGGGCTTCCTTCTGTCAGGATACACAGCAATGCTTATATACCGCATGTCCAAATCCATACCGATTCTTCCCATTGATGATGTTTACATGGGGATGTGTCTGGCCAAAGCCGGACTTGGCCCGTCCTCACACATGGGTGTGAAGACAGCAGGATTGCACATTCCCTCCAACAAAATAGACAAATTCAGTCCGTGCTTCTATAAAGACGTTTTGCTGGTGCACAGATTCCTCCCAGCTCAGATGTACCTGATGTGGCACCGCACACAGAACCCAAAACTAAAATGTGACGACACTTAGAAAAGACATAACACAACTGAACAATGTCTCATTTAGGAGCATGGAGCTTATTAATTGTACCTCAAGTGAATAGAAATTTGGGTGGACAGAAACATTGCACTGCCACAGACTACTGGATCATTTCTGTCTGTGTGTCAGGTGGATTTAAAATATAGTTTTTTCTTCTTTTCTTATAAATGTTAGTTTAGTAATTCATTACTAAAATAATGAGCTATTTTAGTAATAAAACTGGACAGGTTTCTCAGGGATTGCTTTGCAGGTTCTATGTACTTGTTATTTAGATCTCATTAGCTGAGTGATACCAAAGAGATTGAGACCAACAATAAATCTTAAAACCACAGATTCTAAATTGCTAATTGAAAAGGTTTAAAGCATAGGAATGAAGCAATAGGTGATTCTCACTAAATGTTTTTGAATATCACAGTGTTTTTTATAATATTCAAAACGCTGACCTTTTGTACACCTTTGGAAACATCCACCTTTCTTTATCCTGTTTGTAACTATGCAAGCAAGGAGATTAGACAGTAGATCACTGAGCTGATTGACAAGACTGTAGAATAATATACTTTTTTTTTCTGTTTCATTGTAATCTGACAGCAGTAGCTTAACTTCTTATTTGCTTTTTTATTGATTTGTAACCATTAACATCTGAGAGGACATTTACTGGATTTAAACTTCCAAGCTTTTCACCAGGCCAGTTTTTCTACTGGTATGTTGATATTAATCTATTTATTTGTAGAGTTATAGTTAACTAACCTAACATTATTGGTAGAGTTGAAAGAAAAGATGCCAACACAAGCCTTCTACCTACCACTTTTTGAGTTCAAGGAGGAAAGGTCAAAAAGCATTTCAAAGAGCAGGCTGTCAATCGCAAAATTAACATTGTGCCAGGTCAACGGGAAGATGGGGGAGTATTTGCATGTGTGAATGATGAATTGTAGCAGCAAGTTGCATTTTAACACAAAAGTAAAAATAAATTTAAAAAAGAATAATAAACTGCTTAGTAAAGACAAGTGCACACCATAAGAATTACAGGTATCGCACGCTTGGCCGGTAATATGAGTTGCAATGTGCAGTGTGCATCCAAAAGTGTAAAGCTCCGTTCAGAAGATAAGTAAGCAAAACAATGTCTCAAAAAATTACTTATCCTTCAGGGAGGGAGAAAAGAAAGAGGAAGAATAGAAAAAAGCCAAGATAAAGGTATGTTTCAATGTGTCTTGGTAATGTGATGTAATAATGTAAAAGATTTGTAAAGGTACAATCTAATTCAACAGTCAAGCATTTATGCTAGGATCTTTTTGGTTGTGGGAAACTGAGTTTAAACTTTACATGAGTTGATTTTCATGTTTGGCTCTGTATATTTCTGAGGTAGTTTTGACTTCGAAATGCTGTGTTTGAGAACAATTAAAACTTCTCAATGTCTGACATTGTCTAGCAAAATGGTTTTACATCAGGTTACATAGCTGCTACATTGATGAGCTACTCTATGCTGTAGTGGGGTATATGTTACTGGTCTGTCAGTCAAACCTCTCACTGCAGAGCAGAAGAGGACAGAGACTGATTTATAAGCCTTTGCTGACAAAGGTAAGATTAGGGGATAAGGTGGGCTTCACATGTAAGCATCGACCAATCACGATCCCCCAAAGTTAAGGAAATTGGCGCCCTTCCCTGGACTAGGGAAGAAAAGATAAGTGGGCTGCATATTTCTGCATGAGATTTCATGGTACAAAATATGTAATGTTTTGTGCCAAGGAAACATTTCTTGCTTTCTCAATTCTTGCTATTATGCAAGAATTGAGCAATTCTTCATGTGTTGCACAACATCTGTATTTACAGTGGTTCTAAAACATGTGCCCAATACTGTAGAAATATCTGGTTCAATAGATTTAAAAAAACTGAGACAAAGAAAAATATTTTCAAACATTTTAGATTTTTAATGCAAGACATAAAAAAAGTAAGATTACAACCAGTACTTCTTAAAACAATTTTATTCAATTTCACCATTCAGTCTTCTGTTAATATTGTACCTACCATCAACTGTGGTGAAGATGATGAATCTAAGCTAAAGGTCAACTTTTTAGCAGGTTCTTCCTGCTTTTTGCTCTTCGTTTTATCTGAGGTTACAACTTTATCACTCAGATATATTGTATATATTCTTCCAAAATGTATTTTTAGAAGACTTTTGCTTATGTAAGTTACATAAAAGTTAGAAAATCTTTTTTTAAGTCTCAAAAATGTGAAATTTTAGCAGCAGCGTATAAGTTCTGGATAACAAATGAATTGACTTAAAAAATGAAAACATTTCCTTTAAAATGGTCTGCAAAAAGTACAGAAAATACAATATAAAGCAGATTGACTCAATATTGAAGATACTACTACAGTAGTTTATAAGGAAGTACGACATGGAAGCCAAAGACAATGAGGTCAGTCTTTGGCACAGACTCATGTCTAATAATTTTCCGGGCTGAATATATTTTAAAATGAGGGATAACTAAGCATATCTTTTGACTGCTTTAATAAAAAAGCCAGTTGATGTTGGTTTGTGTTGCACCGCCCTACACTTGAGTCACAGTTTTAGTTCTAGACTATAAAAAATAATTATGAAAAACTGAAAAACTGATCTTCAGCTGTTGTTTTGGTCAATATTTATTGTGGAAATGATTAATGTGCTGATCCATCAAAACGACTGTGTGCATTCATGAGCTATACATTCAGATAGCTGCGGTGTGTTATTTTCTAATTACCAATCAATATGAACTGTTTGCCCTGTCAAGTTAAATTTGAATTTTTTGTGTGGATTAAATTTCCTAATGGGCTGGGATCTGAGGAAATGTAAATATTTTATCTGTTATATATTTTTCATAATTAAAAGTCTTTGAAATAATGTGTGGTTTGTTTATGTTAAAACATATTACTTAATACAAAGATTTCACTACAGTCCTTTCCTTTCCAGAGCATGGCTGAGAAAACACTGAATGTTTACTTGAGATTGATTTTCCAGATAAAAACTTCAGTCATCAAAGCAGAACTAAACAAACATATCTATGTATATTTTGTGACTGTTTTTTCACAGGGCATTATAATTGACTCTTTGTCCTTCTGAGTGGATGTTTAATCTCTTATAACAGGACAAAAAGCCAGATGTGTTTCAATGTAAGGTAAATCAGCCAAATAAATAAAAAGCAAAAGCAGAATGTATGATCAATAATATGATTGGGTCATTAAATCTTTAGATTTTAGGTAGCACACATATGGTTTTCACGAAGGAAAACATCAGTCAATGTAATTTGGTCAACATTATTGACTATCCTGCCAAATGTCACATTAGGTTATAATTCAAATATTTAAAGTTCAACAACTTATAGAGAAAATTATGTAACAACACCATCTAGTGCATAATAAATGGTGTTACAAGCCCTTCATTCCTTTCTCCATTGTCTATACCAGCTTGTTGTGAGGTTTGCATGGGGGTCATGGAGTGAGAGGCCGGGTACGCCCTGGATAAGATGACTTTTCCCATCTTTTTCTGAATTTTTTGAAGTAGAAGTTATACTTTTTGTGCAATAAATTTCTTTTTCTTCTTACCTAGAAATGTAGGTTCTTGAATGAACATTGTCCTGAGCGAGACCCTTTATTTGTACCAAGAACATGACAGGAAATTTTATTAAGAAAACTAACAAAACACTTGTTTAGTGTTTCAAATTTTTTTTTATTATGAAGTGTAAGTCAGACCAGAGGGATGTGGTTTTCAAACTTAACTCAAATTATGCCAAATATAAGCAGGTTTAATTGTTTTAATATTTTGAAGTGAAACCATCTGTTAATTATGAGGAACTATTGGGGTCAGAGAAATATTTTCTTGAACTTGGAGATTTTAAGATAACAGTTGAAATGATGCTTTGTGTAAGTGAGCTACTACAGAACAGGATTAGATAACAAAGCCATATCTTTATTGCAGCATATAAACACCCAGCCATCACAAACCTGCTCAGGAAGAACACAGCATTTTCAAAATCTGCCATTTTTACTTCATTCTCAAAATCACTTTAATCACTAAATGAAATATCTCAATATTTCAAGTTTTTCATACAATTTGGTTTCTATTTCCAAAATCAAATTTCAAGTTTATTCTGTAATAGAAAAAATACCCAACATAAAATCTTAAACCCTTGGGGGAAAGTAAACTTGGGTGAGATATCATCTAGTGCATCATTAGCCAGTGAACTGTCATATTTTCTTACACTTTCTTAAACAGACCAAATATTGGTCAAAAGTTTATTTGACACAAACAAATTCCAATTTATAGTGTGTGAACTGGCAAATACATGGAGAGAAATAGAGAGGATGCAAAAAACATTTGCATTATGTATTCCTTTCATTTTGATGAATAAACTGCTTCCGCGTCTGTTTAATGGTTAGTGCTGCACTAGTTGGACATTTTTTGTTTATGTTGTTTGTATTGTAATTTGGTTGGCTGATCTTATGTCGTTCAGCCTCACTCATTCAAAACAGGCTGAGAAAAACGTCAGCAGAGACAGGTGACTTTGCATATTTTTCCCAGAATTCAGAAAACATGTTTTGAATAAGTTTGAACTATTACTTACTTTTGATTTCCTTTGGTTCTCGCTTAATTTTATGGATGGATACTTCGCTTTTCATTTTGTATTTTTATCAATATATTTGTGTATTTCGTCACTCCTCAGCTTTGTCATTTTCATAATAAAGGCTGTTTTTTTGCAATTATAATAAAATGGCAAATGCAGTTAATGCAGTTAATGTCTTATGCAGTTAATTTTTATAATATGTTATGTGTATAAGATTAATAATACTAAAATAATTTTTTTTTATTGTTTTCACTTTTCTGTGTTTTGCCATTTTTTTTTCTCTCCAGCCTTCCTGTTTCCACATTGTGTTTTCTATGTAAGTTCAGTGTTTACACAACCTGTTATACACACATCATTTTGAAACTGGAGCCTATTCATCTTGATGTAATAATGTAATATTCCTTGAACGTACCTGGAAAGGTGTGTCCATAGGTCCAGCAAAACAGAAGCCAACATGGGACAGTCCTACCTTATCAGAATTTCAAAAACATTATAAACAAATGCTTCTGTTTTGACTAAGAAGAAACCAGTGCACATGATTGTTTTATTAAATGTTTTATTAATGAAAACTGCAGATATCGTTCTAGTGTTGTGCTCTTTTACTTCAAAATATTTTAAAAACCTGTAAATAATACAATCCCACGTCAGTACTCTTGTGGGGAGCACTCTAGCGCATCTTAATTTAGCATGAAATTGTAAATTATTAAACAGTATTAACGTTGCCTGGACTGTGAGTATAGATTCATCACCGGGTTGTAGTTGGTTTGTCGTCCTTCACATTTCATTCTGCGCATGCCCAATGACAAGGAGGCAGCCTGACAGGCTAAACTTAGGCTGAAAAAAACAAAAAATTCTCAGATGTCTCAAACCTTATATGGAAATGGAACTATTGCATTCCGGAAATGAAGGGGGCGCTATTTTCACAATCACTAGTATAAATACCTTAAAGAAGCGGCGATAAGAGGTGGATTGGAAGAAGTTTGAGAGGTTTCCCCACTGACGTTCAGCACGCTATTCATAAAGGAACAAGCACAAAGTCAGCAAAAGGTATTTTCTACCTTATTAAAACTTTTTTCACATAGTAAATCAAAACGCTTTTTCTAGATTAGGTTGAAAATATAATTGACAACTGTAAACGAGTGATATTCGTAGTTGTACAGGGGAAAGCAAATTTTAGCATGTAGCATAGCTAATTATTTCCGTGCAGGGCACCATTAGATAAAAATCGAAAAGTAGAAAAATGTATAATTAAGAAATGTATTTTATGCCCCAATTTTTTTTCTTTTCTTTTTTTTCCATTATACAGATGCACTTATAAATTTGCAACATTGGGATCGGACAGAAAATTCTTCCCGTACTGTATGAAGACAAATACCGGTGTCCCCTTTGCTCATACAGGGCCGATGAGTCTTAAAGGTAAAGAAACACATAGCAAAAACTGCTACGGTTCAACATAACCGTATGTAAAACTACACTTATGAATGTTTTTTTTTTTTGTTACATTCTGATCAGTTTTCTAGTGGTTTTTCTTTTTTCTTTTTAGAGGTTAATATTTTTTTAAATATGTTTTTGTACACCAATGTTAAATTTCTGGAAAGTCTAATATTTTTTATAAACTAACAGCTTTTTTTTATAAGCTAACAGCTGCCATCATAAGTGGGTGTAGAACCCAGAGATGATACTGTAATGACGAGCAGCACTACTTCGATGTATTTTTAGTAACTGTGAGGCAAACTACACATTTAAAAGCAACAAAGTACTTTTTGAAATGGCTATTATTAAGTATTGTTTTACTGATTATAATGTGCAATGTAATATTACCCATTTATTTCAGCAGACATTAATAAAAATTAAGTTATGTGCGCTGTTAGGTATTTTAAAACCAAAAAGGAAACATTTTAATACAAGACAACAAATTAAGGTTAGAGGAAACCTTAATTTTTCAGTGTATTGTGTTTTAATTTTTTTATGGATTAAAATGTGTTCTTCATTCAGTTAAGCATTATTATGCATTATTATGCTAAGCATTATGTTATGTTGTGTATCAACAAAATTAACTCGAGTATAACATTTGGAAAAATGGTCCTAATTATTTATTTTTTTGTCAAAGTTACAGAGTAATTGAGTAAATCTAATTAGTTAATACCTGCCCTTGGCTGTTTGAGCAATATCACTTCTACAATTTCAATTCATTTTTTGCAGAATATACACTGCTCAAAAAAATAAAGGGAACACTCAAACAACACAATATAACTCCAAGTAAATCAAACTTCTGTGAAATCAAACTGTCCACTTAGAAAGCAACACTGACAATCAATATCACCTGTTGTTGTGCAAATGGAATAGACAACAGGTGGAAATTATTTTCATATTTATTTCATTCATTCAGATCTAGGATGTGTTATTTGAGTGTTCCCTTTATTTTTTTTTGAGCAGTGTATATTTGTTATCTGGAAGCCATTGCGATTTCTAGAATTAATTGTTAAATCCTACAAAACAGTTACAACAATGTTAAAGAATTTACAATGATTAATTCAAACATGCCTTTTGTTCTACCAATCATTTGTATATTTCCTGGTGTGTAATAACCTTTTTCTTTTATCTTAGTAGCTGTTAGGCTGAGTCCTCGCTCTGTTCTGAGTGAGAATGAATCACGTATTGTTTAAACATATCTGCAATGTATATAAATGTTTTTTTAATTTTATTCATTTCTTTTTTTAAGATTCATTCATAATCATGTCATAGCCAGTCTTCCAGTATGAGTCTTGCAATGCACATGTTTTTTTTTATTATTATTATTATTTTCAGATGCCTTTGACTGTACTGGAAGCTGTTCTCCAGGAGGTGATACTGGCACAGGGAGACATCTTACCTCACCTTGGCATTGACCTGCAAGTGCTTAGAAGCCCTTGTTTTCAGGAAGAAGACTCGCTTTGCTTGGCTAGATGGCAAGGACCTTTGACTTTTATGTAGTGAAATTAGACTTCAACTACATAAAATCTGTTTTTTATTAACAGGTGAGATCATTTTCAGATTCATTCAAGGCAGAAAACAGGATTCCTTTTGCAGTTGTAAGATGTTCTTCCTGCAGCCGGCAATAAAGACTGTGGGCTTCACCGGAAATGGAAGATGAGGAGAGTTCCCTCGTTACTCCTCTGATGGCACATCTGGACACTGCCCTGAATGCCAGTACTGAATGCTAGGACAATATTAGTTGTTTTCTATAGTCTTTCACACATTTCAGTTGTCACACATTGTTCGTTTTTTTTTTTTTTTTTTTTTTTTTTTGTGAAATGCCATTTTAAATCATTTATGCTTAAGCACATTTGCCTTTTGACTTGTTCAGTCATTTGTTTTCGTAATGTTTTCTTTCAATATTATGTACATTTTTGAATGTTCCTTTTGTTGTAGCTCAGTTGATTTACATTATTTAGTTTGTACAGAAATGGTGTCGGAAATTTTGTTGGAGAGAGTAGAACCAATAAAGTAGTTGTAAATATATTGTAACAGTGTTGTTTAGCAATTGGATAACCTTGTTTTATTTGAAATACATGCTAAGTTAATAACTTGCAATATTTTATATGTGTAAATGCAATGTTTCCTATACTTTTTAAACAATGATTGGAATCAATACAAATGTTCTTTACAAACCTGACATACGGCCAAGTTGTTTGTGTTTTAACAGTCAGAATCAACTGTTGTTTTATAATAAAGCAAACACATACAGAAACATTGTTTAGTTACAAAGTCATAATACAAACGTAAGATTAAAGGGGACTGAGTGAAGGTGGAGACCAGGTGGAGGTGATGGAGGCTCAGGTGAGGAGCAGTTGCACATCAAGCCGGAGTTTGTGAAGGATGGAGGAGATCAGACCAGCGCCGTGATCAGGTGAGATGAAGACAGTTATAGTTACAATTTACACATAGGTTTAATTTATGTATCCAGTAAATTTATTAAAAAATGTTTTTATTGAGAAAAAAAAAAACTCCTGAACATTGAATCATTCTCTCTGGCAGTTACCAGCGCAGTGTTTACTGCCGGGGTCCAAAGATCATTTCTTATAAAATGAACATTCTAAAACCTACTTTCTGTTTGAGTTTCAAGGTTGAAGCTAAATTTACAGTTTTAAATGAATCACTTTGGGTTTTGCAACAATTGCATATTTATGGTCTTTGGAGCGCAGTTTATTAATCAATTGCAATTGGTAGAATTGATTTTGAATTTCTAAATGAAATAGTGGGACGCCAACCAGTTTATTGGTTAAGACATGGTAAACAATGATAACAGTTGAGCTTGTTAGAAGTTCAAAAGTCATTTAATTTGTAAATTATATTCACATTGTGAATAATAGGAAAAATATTTGCCAAATAAACAGAACAAAAGTGCACTGTGAATGGACGGACCAGGTTGCCCAAAATTGTTGACCAAACCTCTTTTCCATCTAGTCCTTAATAAATAAGGCATCTAGTCCTTAATAAAATAAATATTTTAAAATCTAAAATATTTTATTTTAGATTTTAACTTATTTATTTTAAGAGTACCATTCACAACATCAAAATCTATTATTTGAATTTCAACACCAGCAAGTATATCTGTTTTCTGCGATGGACTGGCGATCTGTCCAGGGTCCCTGCAGCAGCTCTCACCACCCACTGCACGGATAACCTGAGAGTAAAATAATTGATGGATTGATAAATGTGTTCTTAGTGTACATTTGTCTCTAAAATGTTAATTTATGTTTTCTGACTTTTGTTTGGGATAGATAGGATAGATACATACATCTCCATAATGATTCCTTATTATTGCTTATTTTAAATTGTGTGTTACTAATATAATTTTCACATCCGAAAACAAAGATTTAATAAAGATTTAAAAATGAAAAAGGGAATTACCACGTGACAGACATACCACGTGACGTAACACGTGGTATGTCATTTCCTTACTGTTTAATTTGTAATTAATTTTAAATGTTAAAAGTGTTTTTGGGTGTTTTGACAGGCGTTCTCAAATAAAATGCGTTATTATTATTATAATTATTAAAACACGGCTAGTACAAGAAATGGTGTCACTAGCGCCCCCTTCATTTCCGGAACGCAATAGTCCCATTTCCATATAAGGTCTGAGACTTACAGTGGTCTGTCCCAGCCCCTTTCCGCAAGCTGCAGGGAAGTGTGCTGTGTACCGAACGCTCTACGAGATCTGAGAGCCTAGCGGAAACCCGTAAGCTTCCCATGTAAGCCAGGTGGCCTCATCAAATATGTTAATTGCTGTTATGAGGTAAGACTTATTTCTGTACTCATTAAGGAAAATAAATACATAAAAACAGATTTCATACTTTTAACTGGCTTTTAAGAGACTGAGTACACTCATCTCAATTCCAAAGAGGGAGAGAGACTCGCTCTCACAAGGTTATGTTTCCTTTTGTTTGCTTCAAAGGTAACAATTTCAGTTTTGTCTTCATTTAATTGAAGAAAACTGTCCACCATTTACTTTTAAGAGTACAATAGAGTCTTAGCGCTTTAACAAACTGGATTTTAGATTTTTCACGCGGATGATATATGAGGTGCGCAATTAAATAAGGTGTGTCGCAATAATAAGGATGACAGCTCTTGCCCAATGCAGAGCAAATGCAACAAAAGCGGTAGAGGCTCTAGAACAGAACCTCGGTGTACGCCAAATTGCCTGGATTATGGCGAGATCTTTACTTAGAAGTAGCTACAAAGAACAACTTGTCAGAAAAGTATATATATATATGTGACCTCGGTTACGGCCTTAGTTATGTGTGAAGAACCTTAAATCCTCTGGTGTTGTCTTTTTACCAGATCACACATAAGTTTGTAAAGAAAATGATCAGAGGCACTGATGCAAATTAACCACAGTTTATTTACTCACAATAATACTAAGCATAAATAGTCAATTCATTTTATTGTACAATATCAACCACTTTAAAATCCTAAATCTATGCTGGCCCTGGAAACCTTACCGCTGATGACCAGTTACTCTGATTAAATAACATCAGACTGCTTGGGGGAGAAATAATAAAAAAAAAAAAAAACAAATGTAACTGAATACACCTAAAATGTAGCTGAAAGACACACTTACTCAACAAAAGAAAAACTCCCGGTGAATAACACAAAAAAAAACTCCCCTTCCACTAGTCTCCTCGATCTACATAAAACAGCTTGGGACCAGGGACAGCACAGGTTACCATCTAAAAGCGAGCCTGGAGGGCTGAACAATAAAAACTCCCAAAAGAATAAAGAATTTAATCAGTAAATAACCAAAACAAACTAAAACTGAAACAGTAGCAGGCCAACCTGCACACAACAGAGAATAGAAGTAAACAGATATTTTAAATAACCAAGTAATAATGAACTGCCTTTACCTTCGCTAAAAGCTAGCAGAGCTCTGTATGTCCTCTCCAAGAGGAGGTTTCCTGCAACAATAAAATGGAGCCATCAGAAATAATTCTCAACCCAGGGCACGCTTCATGTTAACCATACCTGCAGAGGAATCAGCCTGGACTCTCACCCTCTCAGCGATCTACCCGCTTTTAAATGTAAATGCCAATTACCTGTCTCCGTAATAAATCAGCTGCACTAAAACACAGCGTCTTCCTTATATGGGCAAATGGAAGAGTGCATAATGGACATAATGCCCCGGCTACATATATAAACAGTCCAAGGAAGATCCTGATACACCATCCCGTCACCAGTAGTGAAAAGTCAGGGGTTATGGTGTTGTTAAAAGTAAAATATTTTATGCATCTTTCTAATATTAAATTGGACTAGTTTTATAGGAAAGTCTATCAAGAAAACAATAAAATATAGAGCCTTCTGCAAAAGAGGAAGTCTTTGCAAAAATCTTCTTCAGTTTCGAAAAGAGACGTTGACTTGGGATTCAGACTCCAGCTTGAGTCGCATGGAAGTTGCAAAAAAAGACAATCAGTACAGACTTGAACTGCTAACCTGAAGTTAGCAGTTAAAAATCTGCAGTCATCTTACCACATAAAATAAGTAGCTTTCTTGAACTGCTAACCGGATGTTAGCAGTTCAACTTGAGGTTGAATTGCTAACTTCAACAAGTTAGCAATTGTAGTGCTGGATTACAGGCGAACTTGATGGTGTAGAGGTTTATGAAGGCTATTAGACATTGTTACAAAAATTAATATCAATGAAGGACAAAATTATGGAGATAAGAAAAACTATGTCTAATCCTTTAATTTTACTCATGAAAATAAGTTTTTTTTTTAGTTATTTGCACTGACCAGTTGATGCTCAAATCTCCAGTCAAGTTCAACCTTAGTACTTCAGAAAACAAATGAAACGGATTTAAGAAGTTTTACATTGAAATAAATGCATGAAGTTTTTAGTTTTATTAACAATTAATATATTTTGTGTTATTTTCTTTTGCTTTTTTCTTACAGGATTTTTAGAAAAGGAAACATTGCGGCTGTCTTTGTGCTGGGAGCTATTTGCATGATCATTTACTTCTGTCAGTACAGACCTGACCTTACAAACCACAATTTCTCCAGCCGCACACTGAGTGATGCCTTTCATGATGACAATCAATCAGAAACTGTCATCAAACCATACACACATGAATTTTTTGTTCCAAAATGTGAAGCAAACATGTTGGTAGCTGACATGAAAGACTTCAGCTCTCTTCCCGATACTATAAAAAATTTCTTGTACTACCGCCACTGCCGCACTTTTCCCCTGCTGCTAGACCTGCTAGACAAGTGTGGGGGAGATAACGGGTCCAAAGAAGTCTTCCTTCTGCTCGTCATCAAAAGCTCTCCTTTGAATTATGACCGTCGGGAAGTGCTGCGTAAAACCTGGGCCAGAGAGAGGCTCCATAATGGTGTGTGGATTCGACGGATATTCATCCTAGGAACATCAGGTTCGGGTTACGAGAAGAAAAAGCTAAACAAATTACTGGAAGCAGAACAAGAGGACTTCAATGACATCCTCCAGTGGGATTTTGATGACACGTTTCACAACCTCACACTGAAACAAATGCTATTTTATGGGTGGATGGAGAGAAACTGTCCAAATGCTCGCTTCCTGCTTAACAGCGACGACGATGTGTTTGCCCACACTGACAACATGATAGAATATCTCCAACACCTCCCTGACAATGATGGAAGCAAGCACCTTTTCACTGGCTACTTGTTTCTGAACGAAAAGGTCGTCAGATGGAAGGAAAGCAAATATTTCATTCCAGTCCAGGTGCAGGAGTCAAACACATACCTACCTTACTGTGGAGGAGGGGGATACCTTCTGTCCAGCTACACGGCTTTGGTGATATACAAGATGTCGCAGTCCATACCCATCCACCCCATTGATGATGCTTACATGGGGATGTGTCTCGCCAAAGCAGGACTTTCACCTTCTTCTCACATCGGTGTGAAAACATTAGGGCTAAATATGCCATCTAAAGGAGCAGACCATCTTCAACCTTGCTATTTGAGAGACCTTCTATTAGTACACAGATTTCTACCAGCTGATCTGTATTTGATGTGGAAAGAAGTTCATAATCCACATTTGAAATGTAACCCCTGAAAGAAACAAAAATAAGGATTCCAGTCTGTTGGATAAATGGACTGTAACTTCAAGATGCCATAAAACGGCTGGGTGGGTTTTTTTTTAATCATTTGGGCTCTTTTCAGAAGCTTGAAGGTTATTTTAAAAGGGTTATTTTAATCATTCAAAGGTGGATTCATTGAACTCAAATTCTAATTTATTTATTGTATATGACTGTGTAGGTTGCAGGTTTATAAGAAGAAAGACAATCTCTATTTTAAGCTAAAGAAAGAAAACCAGGGAAGCGAATGCTAGGCATGACTTGTCTAAATATTTACATGGTTTTTCTTTTCTATTTATTTTCATGTTTGAAACAGTGATTTTCAAACATGAAAATATGGCTAATTTTTACGGTCAGTCATATTGTGAAAGTAATACAAACTTTTGTTAAAATGTGGACAAATGAGGATAAGTTTGTGCGAACAGACAATGTGGCTGACCTACAATCGGTTTATTGAATGGAGCTATTTAACCTCTTCCTAATTACATGTGAGGGTGACGTGCCTGGCAGCAATAGGTTAGCTTGCTGCTGAATAGAGTTTGTTATTTTCCATCCATCCATTAATTAATTGATTAATTAAGAAGGGAGGCCCAGACTTCCCTCTCCACAGTCACATGTTCCAGCTCTTCCGGGGGAATCCAAGGCGTTCCCAGGCCACCTGAGAGTCTCTCCAGCGTGTCCTGGATCTTCTCCATGGCCTAAAGATTCCAGGACGATTATCTTTAGGGACCTAAAGATAATTCAGTAGGACATTTTGTCATTTTTAACACTGTTTTACACGTCGGCCCAGAAGTCCACTGATGAGTGGACTAATGTCTCACCACAAGTACCAAAGCAAAGCGCCAAAGTTTATTAACAGATAACAAAAGATAGTTTAGGTAAACAGTAAGATGGAATAAGCCCTGAGGTCTAACAAATTTCTCCACTGGATCTCACAAGCTGAGAGTACCTAGAAGGTCTGACAATGTTTTTGGTATGGAAAGTTGTTCCATTAGCATCCTGATTTTTGGAAACTCCCATATTTTGAACAAGAAGATGTTTATCATCTAAATAAACTGACCTTTCAGTAAGGAAGAGGTTGTATCCTGTCCACCTTGTGGCTACATAACTGTGCAGTAAACCTGTTCAACTGGAATTGACTGAGCCGAGGGAGAGACCATGTTGCATAAAGACTCCTATATATTGTGAGAGCTTGCAGCTCCAAGTCAGAACTCATTGTAGGTACAGCTGTTGTGCTTTGGTTGCTGTGTGTTCTCCGTTTGCAAACGACAGAAATAAAAGAATTTTGCTATTTGCCAGAGTCTCAAGACTGATCTGTTCCACACAGATTAGATTTTCTTTTTTTCCACAGTGGTTTTGTTTCACAGATAATTAACATGTTCAAGAGGAAATGTTACAATCGATTTTAATATGAAATTACAACTAGATCATTTTCATTACTGCAATACCTACATTTTTATTTTACATTATTTAAAACTATCAGTTAATTCAGTGTTGTACAAAAAATGTTTCTCAACCAAAGTGGATTATTATTTTTTACACCTCTGTATATCTTTGGTTTGAATGTTGAAAGATCTTGAATCTAGAAGTTCCTTTACAAATTTTTAATTTTTTAATCTTTAAAGAGAGGTGTTTTAAGTTTAAACTAGACTTAAACTTAAAATCTAATTAAAGTATGCCCACTTGAAACATGATTCAAGTGGGCATGAGAATTATGTTTTACCAAGTTAGGAAAAGCACTTTTTTTATGATTTAAAATCCTTTTCGGAGGATAAAATGCACTCTGTAGCTCTCTGTAATTGACTGGATTGAGGAAAGAATTCAATGTAAATAACTGCTTTGAAACTCACACTGGTTGATGTCAATGTTCTCCTTGTGAGGGGTTGTTCAAATAAATCCTCTTTATGGCCAAAGCCAGACTTCATTGAAATCGACTCCAACTGTAAGTTCATCGAGTTTCCACAAGGAGGAGAGTACACCGTAGATATCAAAGTTCACAATGTCATCATAAGGAGAAGCAAAGTACATTATCATGAAAATAGTGGGACAAAGACAGATAACTGTATTGTCAGTCAAATTTCTGACTCCTGGAATGGTTGAGGGAAGCCTCAAATTACAATCAGTTAACCTTAAGGCAGAGTTTTAAGATTGTTTAAATAACTTTGACTTAGAAGTTCCTTTTGTGTTCATGTGTGTGTTTAAGAAATAATTCTAAATTAGGTCTCATTCCTTAGGTTTGCACAAAAAAGCTAATTTTTTTCCTGTCTTTGTGGCCATCAGGAAGGGTACAAGAATTAAGAGGATTTTGTTCCTCTTCTTTTCTCATCTTCACAAAAAGTTTGGTTTTGAACTTTGACTCATAAGCTCTAACTGGTATTTGGTTGCATAAAGATTTTGTGGAACATAATTGCGATTATGATATAACCGTAGACTGAAGTATAAGAAGATTACTGAAGGGTCTAAGTGGCTTTTGTTGGATTGTGGTTTCAAAACAGAAAATGCAAGGCTATTTAACAGTAAGAAGTGATAAAGAAGGAACCACTTTTAGCTGTAAGAAGGTTGTGAGAGATAAAGGTAAGTCAGTTTTTAAAAAAAAAACATAATGTAGTATTGATTTTAACCAGAAACTTTGTCTGAATAGATGAAGTGATTAAGGTTCAAACTTAGAGATGAAATGTAAGGGGGAGAAAGTAAAACCTGAGCAGAAACGATATGTTTTTTCCAAATGCAAGTAATTTAGAAGAAAATTAAATGTCATTTTTTCAGAGGCTAAAAATTAGAAGGATAATAAACAAACCATTTTTTGTTAAATAACTGCAGTTTATTTCACTTGTCATGGCAAAAGAATGACATACAGTTTATTGGTGCATTCCTGTCATTCTATGCTACATGTCATGTGTCGTCTAAACATAACGTGGTTAATGTTAATCAAAAAAGAGCAAAGTTGGCAAAACAGATCATGCAATCACAGCATGACACCTGTAAGGTTTGAGACCTGGTAGCAGACATTCAGTGTGTAAAAACAATGAATAATTTAGGCTTTGTGAATCAGTAAATCAAGAGCAGGAGTAACAGATGATCCTAACTATGAGACTAAATACAGAGAAAACTGGGATCGTGAATATTGCCTGAGGATTTTATACACTGTTTAAGCTTATAGTGTAGCAAACTCCACTGCAATGGAAAAACTCTTAATGTCCCAGTGTTTGAAAGCTGAGTTCATCATATTGTCCATATAATGACAATTTTATGTTATAGCAAATCTCCAGATGATTGACAGAAAGCTATCTAAAATTCAATTAATTGTTTTGTTTTATTTAATTATGTTATCTAAAACTACTCTTATTTTTTTTTAAATAGTGATGTCACTAGGTAAGTCACTAGGTGGCAGCAGCAATGCTAAAACTAATCAACAGGCTGCCTGTCCAACCCAGTAGGATCCTACAGAAACACTGTTATACAAATGAAGTTTGTGACAGTGGAGGCAAGTAAAGAAACATCATGCATTACCAGCAAACAGACAGAGGCAAAAGTTTGCAGCAAACTTATCTTTAATTAAATTTCAAGACAAAATGTATATCAGAAGAAGGTTTGTTCAAATTTGTTTTTATGAAAGAAGTAAAGAATCAAGAGGACAATATTTACGCAACAAATCTGTTCAAACACAAGCATAAATCAAAATCCTTATTATTCTAAATTATATATTTGTATAAAGCAATAATATTAAATATTAATAAAACCTGAAAGCTATTTCACCTGCAATCAAATCTCTGATACACCGAGATGAATTTGAACAATTTTTCTCTGTAAACAATGAGATTGATAATATATATATATCTAATATATATATAAATTTAATTAAACTGCATCGCTGAGAGGGGATTTTACTTACTTTGAAGTTAACCATTTACAATTAAATGCCAGAGAATATTCAGTGACACTAATGGAACTTTTGAGAAACTCCACACATACATATATTTTAAGCCAAACTGTCAGTGGTTGTCAAATGCTATAACTACAAAGTATCTGCAGAGATTAAAAATAATTATTATTTAACAAAGCACTTATACTGAAATTAAATCCATATCTATACAATGAAAGTTTTTGTTTGGTCTTATGTTAAATGCAAACGTTCTGTTTGACTCCTTTGTATGTTAAAAGGATAAAAAATAAAATAATTCCAGAAATATAATGTGAGAATTAAAAAGCTGTACAGTAACTTTTGCTGCTTTCACTGAAACTAATGTATACAATCCCATTACTCATTACCAAGTATCCACATGCTTCCAAATACAGGACAGAATAAAAATAAAGAAAATACTGCTTAGGAAGACAATAAATAAAATGTATAATTCAATACTGCTGCTGTTAATGTCTGCGTGGTTCAGCAAGGCCTCTTTCTTAGCCTTTTGTGTTTTATCTGTCATCCTGGATCATATTTTCAACCCTTTTTGACAGGTCAGAGAAAGTTGGACGCTTGTCAAAGTCATACGTCCAGCAATCGTTCATCAAACTGTAGACCTGGGATTAATATGGGAAAACGATTAGATGTAACAAATTATATTTGTAAAGATGTTTTTTTTTTATTCAGGTGGTGCACAATACCGAGACAGAGCAAACATACCTGCAGAGGGCAGCTGGGAGGAGCTGGCAACCTCCAGTTGCTCGCCAGCATGTTTGCCAGATGCATTGAAAGAGATGTACCTTGGACATTTTGACCAATCTCCTGCAAACAAAGCTGAGCAGAAAAAATATTATTGTAATTTAAAAATAAACATTGGACACCCGACATTCCTGAACGTAACAACGTCCCATTCTCTTACTCTTTTGGGATTGATGCTGTTGTCACAGTAAGAGAAGAGCTCATGGAGAACGATCCCGAAACTCCAGACATCTGATTTGTGGGAAAATTTATTTTCATTAAGGCACTCTGGAGCTAACCTGCAAAACATGGAGCAACGAGGTTTTATCAGAAGAGTCATATAGACTTTTATTTTACATTTCAGTTCAAGAACTTTGATCACAAAATTTTTGGTTGAAACTTTTGCAAGAATCATGTCAGCTATAAAGTGTGGTCGTCATGTCACTTCTCACTATCAAACAGAATAGCTCTAATGATACCCAAGTGCATACATGTCCATGAAGAGGAGTAGGTCCACTCAAATCCACTTTTTTTTTCTAACTTGATCTTAAATTTGTGATTTAAATGTGACCTATAAGCCAAGATCACATCAGGCAGTACAACAGAAAGAGGGAAATGTTTTCATATATTGATCTAGATAGTAGGTGCTTTACATATTATAAGTGATGTTTAAATTCTTTTGGTTAAAAAATGCTGGTAGTTATACTTTGTTGACTCGTGTATATTTCAAACAGGAGAAATCATACCAGAAGAGGGGGCTCTGTCCAGGCTGTGAGAGACGGTAATACTCCTTATCAAAGGGAAGTACCTTCGTCAGGCCAAAATCAGCTATTTTCACCAGCGACTCATTGGCAACAAGAATATTTCTCGCTGCAAGGTCTCTGTGGACGTAACGCTGCGTCTGCAAGTACTCCATTCCCTACAAAAGTTAAAACAGGTGAGCACAGAAGAATGTGAGGCAGAAAAGAAATGTTCAAACCTGCAATTAGTGAGCTTTTTTCAGTCAGACAGGATTATTACCTCAGAGTTTTTTGTTATTGCATGTTTGGTTGGACTACTAGTCAAAAAGGCCTATCAAAATTGTTATCCTAGGGATTTGCTGCATTACAGGTTTGGAGGAAACAGAAGGGCTTCCTCAACATTTTTACTAAATTTAAAACTGAAAAAATTTCAATGTTTTTCCTACTTGATGTTAAGATCTGAACTAAAGTAGCACTGATTTGAGAGAACAAGCTGACCAACATATCAGCTGGCTCAGTCAGAATTTGCATGTGATGTTGCTGTTAGACTAGAGATTTTTGATTTGCATGTCACTGCATATTTGCAATGGACATAAAAATTCAAATCACGTCGGTATATTTCACACATACTTCAACCACTATGAGCCATACTTTGTGATAGTAAAGATTTACATTTTTGTTGATCAAATATAAACCCCGTTCATTTTTTATGTGTTTGGAAAAGGCTGATGTCTGTGAACGTTACCTTACAAATCTGAAAAGAAAAAAGCAGCATTCGCCTGGTGGTGATGTTATGACGGTTAGTCCACACATAGCCATTAAGGCTGCCATAAGGCAGATACTCCATCACTAAGCTCATGCTAAGGCGACCTGTAAACAATCAAGCAATTCAGTAAACCAGGGTAGCCCAGCAT